AAAAACCAAAAAAAAAAAAAAAAAAAAAAAAAGTTTATTAGAAATACTGAAACATTACTCCTAAACCTGCCAGAGAGGAAAAAGCTCTGGAAGTATACCTACTTCCTGTCATTCTAATTTATAGTTGAGTTCCTCTTAGGGTAACCACTATTCAAAACCTACATGGACTCCAGTCATGTAAAATGTAGAAGAGCATTGCTCATTGATTACAGGAAGAAAACTTACCCAAACCGCCTAACTTCATGGGTGATTAATAATACCGTAATGGCATTGCAGTAAAGCTTATTTCCTCAGTTTTGAGGCAGAGCTCCCTCTTGTGGCCAAATGATTTCCCTATTAATAAAACCACTGCAGGGAACAAGACATGGATGACACTAGTGGCAGTAAGTATCCTGTAGGTCTCTCAATTTGCAGATCCCTTCACCAATAGCTTACAGTTACTGTACATCTTATGGTACAGAAATTAAGATGTTTGCTGCCTCCATCTTTTTTTAAGATAAAGCACTCAGCTAAAAACTCTGCTTTACTTACCCATAGGGGAACCTCACAAATAAGCCATGCATGACTTTCCTTTCCTCTGTAACCCACTGACACTATCAGAATGCTGTAGGTAAGTCTTAAGTTGTATGTAGCTCTGTGGTCAAGCACTGACCCAGCATCTGAGGCCCTGGGTTCAAATCCTCAGCACACTTAAAAATACTGTTACCTCTGGAGTAGATTTCTGAAATTAACTTGTACAGAACATTAATTTATCCTATTTTCTGTGTACTATTAAGCCAACAAGGAAATATCCTCCCTTTGATCCCTACAAGGCACAACCAAATTCTAGGTTATCAGAGCTTCCAAATTAAAAAAAAAAAAAAACCAGCACTCAAATTCTCAACCATGGAAGTGCTAGTTTAAATACACTGTTAACTTCTTTGCTCTAAAGCAAAAAAATCTTTTGCAAGATTTATTCAACAATTACAGTAAAACTTTTTCTGATCTCTTAACTTTTACATTTTAATCTTTCTCATAGAACCAGAATGAGCAAGGTTCCTTTAGACTGATAACAGGCTTTGGAGAGATGGCTTATCTGTTAAGAACACTCACTGCTTTTCTAGAGGAGACGCAGGTTCAGGTTCCCAGCACCCACAGCTCACAACTGTACGGTCTCCAGTTCTAGGGGAACCCAGCGTTTTCTTCTGGTATCCAAAAGCATCACTCACACACAGAACATACTTACGTACAAGAAAAACACTCCAACATAGATATAAAAACCTTATAAAAACCCCACAACTCTGAAATCTAGACCCCTCCCCTCAGGAGCACTGCACTACATGTTGTGGGTATATTCCCTTCCATGAAGTGAAAAGCTGCCAGTGTCAACTATATAGTAAGAGGATACACTGGGTGGGGACACCTTTTCTTCTAGTATCTGATTCAGTCTAAAAGGATGGATAACTTAAATCTCAATAAGGATGCCAAGGTAACAGCCTTTTATTCAATCCCAAAATGACATATAGCAGCACTAACCCTCTGTAGTACAATTCTACATAATACTCCTTGCCCGCCTAGATGTATTTGGGACTCACTGTTGTTCGTACTTCTAAATACCTTCAACAATGCCTGTGCAACTTTGTAATCAGAGTGCACTGGTCTTTTTGCTAGCAAACTTGTTAGTGACATTAATTACACAATGAAGGTAGCATTCTGGTCAGATTTTACATCCAACTGGCTCAACAATCCCCAGTGTTCAGGGGCTTTTTTTTCCTTTTCCTTTTTAAATTTCAGAATTGCAGACTGTCAATCTGTCTTTAAATTATGATAGAAATAAGTCACAGTGGTTGTTACAACAGAACTCAGTCTAATACTTTCTCTCCTTTTAATTCTATTTAAATACATATTTTATTTCATTTGTAATTTAACTACAAATTTCATATAAAAAGCAAAAGGCAAACACCAAAAACTGACCTTGACCACAGGAAGCTGCGAACAGCACCAGTCCTACAAAAGCACGGTTCACAGACAAAACTAGGAAAAGCTGCTCTTAGCTTTTATCATGTTCAACTCCAGAATTAAGATGGGTGGATTTACTACAAACATTCACAATTACTAAAAAGCTGGGGGGGGGGGGGAGACATTGCAAGAGAAATCATTCATTCCAAACGTTAGTTCTTAAAATTCAGATCCCAAACTAGGTATCAAAATATGTCTTACCTTTATCTCCAGTAGGATGAGCTGAACAGCAAGTTGGGTTATTCAATCAGATGTTATGCAAAGTACTTGCTTAAAGAGATTTAAGTGCTTTCTTGGTTAGAAAAACTAATCAGAGTCCCTACAATATCCTAAGGGAACAGAGAAGGGGGGGGTGGAAATCAAGGTAGTATTTTTATTTCCAAAATGGTATAAATTGTTAGTATGGGTATAGGCCTATTTAAGACTTAAAACTTTATTTTTCACAAACTGCTCTCTAGTGTTCAAACCCAAGCCTATATGGCAAATACTTGTCTCATTTCCAATCTAGGGCTGAACTACTTGAAACAGATAACCTTAAATAGAGACCATTTTTTTTGGTCCTATTTCCAAAGCATTCACAATAGCTCACATTTGTTTATATTTAGCTCACATTCACCTTTCAAGATTATTTTAGTAAATTGGGCATGGTGGTTCACATCCATAATCCCAGAGTTAGGAGATAAGATTGCTTTGGAGTTTGAGCCCAGCCTGGGCTATATACTGAATTCTAGGAAAGTCTGAACCAGAGCAAGGCCATCTGGAGGGAAAACACAATCCACCAATTGAGAATTTTCCTCAATATATTTAAAAACATTACATTCACATTTAAACTTTTAATCATGCCATGTTTAATTATGCTAATTCCTTAAGGATTCTCTTCAAAAGCAAATCTCTGCCCCTAGGTTATATTTTGAATTCTGTAACTACAGCTACTTAACCTTAATGAGTCTACATTGCTGTACTTAAAGTGAAATCCTAGTTTTGCACTTAGCACCTTCTCTTCCAGGACAGTCTTTTTTTAACGGTTCATTAAAACATATAGGTTGAGTGACCTCATGCAAATTCCTTGAAGCCCATTTCTTTCACTATCAAGATTCCTGGTCTCCCCTATACGTTATCTTATACATATATATCTGAATAACCTGAAATTCAACCTGCAACACAAGGGAAAGGTTAAAGATCTATTTCTATTGGGATACTGATGAGTGGTTTATTCATTCTAACTAGAAGGAAATCAGAAACGGGATTTTAAATAAAATTTCCATACTCCAATCTAAGCAAGATGATGGGGGCTATCAGATACAACAGTAGACTTAAGATAGAATTGCTGATTTAATACAGAACACTAAGTTTGGGGACAGAATACTCTTTATGGCTGAAAAGATTTACAAGACATTGATTCACCCAATAAGCAGTTAATCTGCCAGCATACTGTCCACAACTCAAAAAAGTTTTGCACTACATTCTAATTGCCCTGCTAATGTCAATACAGAATTTGAGTTTCACCAAGGATCAATGGTTACCTCTAAGCTAATTAGCTAATCAACTTTGCACAAAAGTCTATTTGCCTAAAGTATTACCAAAATAAACAGCACCTATAAGTTCTTAATCACACTTTAGCAAAATATGAAAGCTTAATTTCCAGACTATTACCCCTACATAATTATACTACATACATGACTGCCTTATACTCAGTTTATTATCCCCTTAAGACTTCCACAACAGTAAGAGACAGTTATTATCATTTATTAGAATTTTTAATTTACTAACACATAGACAAGTCAGAATCTTATCAATTTAAAGAAATAACTGATACACTAGTTACTCAGCAAAATTTTACATGAAGAGGAAAAAGGACAACCATGCATCGTTTTTTTAAAAAATGTTTATTTTTCAAAGAAAAACGGCAATAGCCAATTGGAAACCTACTTATTCTTCAACTCCAATTTTGTTTTCTTTAAATTTAGAAGTGACTTACTGATTTACTATTTTAAACAAACCCCCCCTTTCCCCTTTAAATGTTTACCATCTACTCGTGCTGAATCCTTCCAAGGAGATTGCTCCAGCGTATATCTCCAGGTCCTCGCTTTGCTCCTTTTACCAAAAAATGCAAAACACAATTCCATCGTGCATCTTAAGGGCTCCAATCGTCAAAAATAGGAAAAAACTCTTTGGAATAGCCAATTAAGTTGAATGAAAAAAAAATCCACACGAATGCGGTTTGGTTGGGGCAGGAAGGAATCCACTCCTATGTTCCTGGTAATCTGATCCCGCTCCATGAATCCTGGTAATTCATCCTCCCTATCCTATCCACATTATGATTTGAATCCAATGATCCAGCTCCAAGGATTGGGATCCAGTGAGCCCTCTCCAATCCAAACCTTTATAACCAGCAAAACCAAAAAAGAGGAGGCAAAATGTTAGATACTGTAATCAAAAAAGGTTTCTGGGGAATGATGAGTTATGTCTGTCATCAGTTTAACAGATGTACATCAATAACTATCAAATTCCCCAAAACAAGTTTCTGTATGGTGTTTAGATAAATTTTAGAAACTTAATCATTATAGAGACTAACTGGAAGAAGCACTTTATATTTACAGTTCAACTGATAATGCCAACACTTGTTATTGTACAGGTATCACAGGTTTTGTGGCTGCAAAGTTATGTAATTGAAGTTTACTGGTACTGCTACCCACCTAAGTCTAAACTAAATCTATTGCTCCCATCTGCAATTTAGCTTGTAAATTAAAGTGTTTTAACATGAGTCAATTATGAATATTAAAAGGGAAGGTGAGACTTAAAGTATTCCCAACTAGATTATCTACACTAATACGTTGGAATTCTATATTTTGCTGTCATTTTGTCTTTAAAAAATGAAATAACAACGCTCTATCAGTCACACAGAGGACATGCAGATTTAGCAGTATTGATATTATACTCTGTTTGGAAATAGACACCCTGTACCCACATGTACACCAACAGCAGGCCACACATTAACAGTTGTAACTAAGCACTGTGACAAATTAGCCATTCTTCCCACATTAGTCCCTATTAAAACAAAAAGGGGGGGAAGGGAGCAAATAACTGTTACAAAATGGGCAATTTTGCCACAATTGCCAAGGTTTAAAAAGCAAAGCAATTGTAGCTAAAGGTAACTGCATTAAGATGTTTGCAAGTGTTTTAAGGTAGATAAAAATTTTCACCCTTGTCTTTTAGTATAAGGTCAATACTGCCAATTTCATCTGTGACAATAGCACTTGGAGTCATACCATTGCCTCCATTATTGATCTGATCCTCCTCAATCCTCCTTTTGACAATCCTAAAATGATTGAAATGTGCTCCACAATCCTTAATCCAAAGCATTCTTAATCCATCTCTTCAGATATGTCTACAGAAAGACACATGAAAAGCAAGATAAACATAAGAACTTCCCCAAGTAAGATAACCACAAACACCCCCAACATCCCATTTCACACAAACCAGAGCAGAATAGACATTTACACAATATCACAGTCTGAAGAGCATGGAAATTAACTAAATTTAAACAGTCCTGTCTATGACATCACTTAAAATACAATTTACCAAAGACATGAGGGGAATGTAGATGTTAGGAGCAAGGGGATATTACACAAGAATGCAAATTCAACACTTTAGCCCATTCTGAACAAAACAGTTTGAATTAAAAAAAATGAAAAGATTGTACTGAGTAAAGGAAAACTGTATACAACATGGGTTCTACAAAAAGTGTCACCAATCATCTTATGTACGAGAGCGAGATCTGCTATGACGGGGAGAATAGCGTGGTGATCCTCTGCTTCTCCTTGGGGAGTAACTGCGACTCCTGCTGTTGCTTCTGCTACGGCTTCTGCTACGACTACGGCTTCGAGAGCGAGATCTTCCATAACTTGGACTTCTGGGCCCATCAACTTTAACCCGGATGTAGGCAGTTTCTCCCTATTGGATAGACAGAACTTTCCATTGAAAGATCTAAGCTTTCACCTGTCTTCAGACATGCTGAATGAATACAAAGACAGACAGACCAGATCTCTGGTAATTTACATGGACACCCTTGCCTGTATCCTTACCTTCACATTCCACTGTTAAGAACACTGTATCCAATTCTGGCCAAAGAAAAGAATAAGTGTATAACCTACCTCATGAGATCTAAACTTAGTGTTATCCAGTTTTCGAACTGCATACGTCATATCTTCTTTCCGTACAAACTCCACGACACCAGTGCCATCTCGGTAAACATCAGCATAACATACATCACCTGCTTCACGCATGTGATCCTTTAAATCCTGCCAGCTTCCACTCGGAGGCAGTCCTGAAAAAGTGATTTCCCCCCACTTAATGCTAATTATCCTGTTCCACATTTATGTATAATGTACATCGGAACAAAGATTATTTTAAAATACTTAATGATTGTACTTAAGTGTTTCCAGGTAAAGAGCTGGTAAGAGTCTGAGATCCAGAGTCCATACTTATTTGTAAAGGATCTTCATAGGCTAGTACTGCAACCTAATTTGGGTTAAATCACCACCACAGTAATCTTTATTTACTAAATTCACCCCCAAAGACCGAAGCACTTTAAGACCCCCGTGTAAAAGGAAAAAAAAAAAAAAGAAAGAAAGAAAAAGAAAAGAAACCAGACAGCAAAAAACTCGCCGTTGCCACACCAGTCCGTCCCGCGGGGGACGTCTTTTAAACCCACGCGGGAGTCAACTCACCAGAGACAACCACTCTGTTTTCGGACCGCCGGGAGGGCGGGCCATAGCGGCCTCTCGGAGCTCCGCCGCCTCCACCCCCGCCGCCGCCTCGGCCCGTCCCGCGGCCGCTCCGAGGGAACTCCACCCGCAGACGGTAGCCGTCGTAATCGTAGCCGTCGCGACCGTACACCGCATCTTCCGCGTCTCTGCGTGATCACACAGAAAGCAGGCGGGGGGATGAGGGAGCGCTCGGACCGACCGACCGGGGACACCGGCCGCGGTCGCGGTCGCGGCCCGGCTCGGCTCCAGCCCCGTCCTCGGGAAAAGCCGCCGCCGCCGACGGCGCACATGCGCAACCCGCGCGGCGCCGGAGCCCCACATGCGCCGCATAATGGGGCCGGCCCCTCCCCCACCCCGAACCACGCCGGGCGAGACTCCCGACCACCACACGCCAGCCCTCGAGCGCCTCAGTTTCCCGCTCCGGGGCTGCGCATGGGCTCCGGGGACGTCCGAGGCGGCCGGCCACCGGAGACAACACGCCGCCGACTTCGGCTCCTTAACTCGACACTCCTGCAGGGGCGATAGCGCCTCGCTCCCGGCCTCGGAGCCCCTCCTTCCCTGCGAGCTCTCCCCCAACCCCCCCACCCCCGCCCCGCATTATGTCCAGGCCTCTCGGAGCCTCCATTCCCCCCCCACCCCCCCCGCCCGCCCGCCCCGCCGCGCAACGACTCCAGCCTCCTCCTATCTCCTTCTCAAGGCCGCCAGCCCCACGCTGCCTCACCGCGGGTCCTCGAACTCAACGAAGGCGAAGGGAGGTCCCCCGCGGCGGTTCTTCAGGTCGATGTCGCGGATGGCGCCGTATTTGTAAAACACGTCCTCAATGTCCTTGGTCCGGATGTCCGGAGGTAGGTTCCCCACGTAGATGCGGCAGTCGTTGTTCCCCGCCGGGCCCCGGATCACACCACCTCCTGACATGGCGGCGACGGAGAGCGCGGACTCGTGGAGACTCTTTGAGGCCTTTTCCCACCAAGCCTAGCGTACGGCGGAGCGAGCCCTCGGCGGCACCACGTCTCCCGCGGCCCGTCCAAAATGGCGCCTTTATCAGCTCGGCGCACTGATATGGGGGGGGGGGAGTGGAGAGAGGGGAGGGGGAAGAGGAAGAGAAGCCGGAGGAAGCGGCTGGTCCGCCGCAGTGCGCACGCGCGCGGGCGGGCGTAACGGGTGCTGAGCAAGTGCGCGCGCGCGCACCCGCGCGACGTCACCCTCCGCACGAAGTGGGGGGGGGGGAGGAAAAAAAGTCCCCGGCGCCCCGGGCTTGGGGAGAGGGGGGGGAGGCTGGGGGAATGCCTGGTTAGCGGAGCGGCCAGGCGTTTGGTAAAAGTGGCAGACTCTGGTGAAGAGAGGATGTGGACGACGCCTGCCGAGTCCGAGAGTCGTCTGTCTCCTCGAGCGTGAGCCCTCTTTTATAGCCGCCCGGCGCTCGGGATTTGGTGAAACCTAGCCTGCACCCGAGTCCCGCCATGCTCCGCGGCGGTAACGGCCTTTGGCGGGAAAGGCGGCGGGGGCGGAGCCAGATGATGCCGAGCGGTTGCTCCGGAAACCTGGGCATCTTCAGAGCCGGGGCTGGGCCGGCGGAGTTGCAGGTGATTGGTTTGAGAGCTTGGGCGCAGGAGCTGTGTCTTGGGCTGCCACGAACCCGCGGTGGGCTGCGTTTTAGGCAATTAGGAAAGTGTCCAGGCGGATCCTCCACAACTCTCCGAGTGAACCATGCCTTCGGTTTTTCTCCTCCTTTCAAAGGATGAGAAAGGAAAAGTAATGGAGTAGAAGCGAGGACTGTTCACTTCTAGAGACAACGGTTGCATCTCAGGGCTGAGATTCGGCTAGGGAGCTAAGAACTTTTTTTTGCAGATTGTCTGTAATAAGGATATTTATATGGCGGGGCGTTGGTGGCGCACGCCTTTAATCCCAGCACTCGGGAGGCAGAGGCAGGCGGATCTCTGTGAGTTCGAGGCCAGCCTGGGCTACCAAGTGAGCTCCAGGAAAGGCGCAAAGCTACACAGAGAAACCCTGTCTCGAAAAACCAAAAAAAAAAAAAAAAAAAAAAAAAATCGGAAAAAAAATAAAGCCAAAGCCTTTTTTTTTTTTTTTTTCTATTTTTGTTTTTTCCCGAGACAAGGTTATTCTATGTAGCCCTGGCTGTCTTGGAACTCGCTCTTCATAGACCAGGCTGGATTGGAACTCAAAGACCCACCTGCTTCTGCCTCCTGAGTGCTGGGGCGTTAAAGGTATGTACCACCACCTCAGGACTAAAACCAAAGCATTTCATAATCAAATTATACATAAAACAGCCAGGTGTGGTGGCCTGCCGTTAAATCCCAGCATGTGGGAAACAATCTCCCAAGTTCAAGGCCAGCCAGAGCTACATAGACCCTGACTCAAAAATAAATATGCTAAATCAGATACCCACTGATTCCCACCCCACCCCAAAACAGGGTTTCTCTGTGTAACAGTCCTAGCTGTCCTGGAACTCACTCTGTAGCCCAGGCTGGCCTCAAACTCACAGAGATCTGCCTGCCTCTGCCTCCTGAGTACTGGGATTAAAGGCGTGCGCCACCACCGCCCAGTGATCCCCACTGAATTTAAGGGTGATTTTCTGCACTGTTATTTTTAGTTTTATTAGATTTTTATTTTGTGCATATTATGTACTGGAGTGGTGGCTGGTGCCAGGGCACACGTGTGGAAGTCGGAAAATAGGGACTCTGTTCACCCCTCACCCAGGGGCTGAGCCCCAGAGATCAAGCTGTCAGGCTTTTGAAGAGCACCTTTACTGGATGAGCCCTTCTGCGCCCTTTTACATTATTACTTGTTTACAACAGTCCAAGGATGTAAGGCTGCTAAAAATGAAACCATTAAATATTAAGACTGGCCGAAGAAATCAAGGACAGTGAGAATGGGGGAGGGGCACAAGTGATGAGGAAGGTTTCTAGGCGAAATACGTGAAGTGAGAACCTGTTGAATTCCTGGGAGGTCAACTGCAAATTTGACTAGTCTAGAAGTCTCAGTGAAGAGAGGAACGCAGTATATTCAAATTTTTAAATGGCTTTGAAATACAAATAAATAGTTCAGGAAAGGACAGTTTTTGTTGTTGTTAGTCATAAAAGCTACTTGAAATGAATTTTATAGCAAGGCATGGTAGCCCACATCTGTAATCCCATCCCTCAGGAGTTTAATGAGGAAGATAATGAGCTCATGGTGAGTCTGGGTTACATATGAGGAGGCCCTGCTTCAAAAAAACAACAAAGGAAACCATGTCTAGTAAGTGTCTTCGTGAACTACAAACTCAGTTTGAAACGATCAAAGATGCTTGTTGAAATGTTGGGGAAGGGGATTTTTGTTTGGTTTTTGAGTCGGTCTCCTGTAGCTTAGACTGCCCTGCAGCTTCCCATGCTAGACCTCCTGCCTCCATGACCAGCTTGAAAAGTGAAACCTTTGTTAAATCCTTAGCTCTGCATGGGTGGCCGGTATCTAGTCTCAGCACTGGAGAGGTTGAAGGAGGAAGATAAGTAGTTCAGCGTCATCCCTACTATATTTCCAGTTCAAGGCTGGGCTGATATGTGGGAGACTCTTATTCAAAAGCATGGTGAGATACGTACACCTTTAATCCCAGCACTCATGAAGCAGAGGCAGGTTGAGAGTTTGGGGCCAGACTGGTCTATGTTGTGAGTTCCAGGACAACCAGTGCTATTTAAAAAGAACCCTATCTCAAAAGAAGGGGAAAAAAAGAATGAAAAAGGATAGGACTGGGGTCCTCTGGTTTAGTTTGGTTTGGTTTTTCCAGACAAGGTTTCTCAGTGTAACAGTCCTGACTGTCCTGGAACTCAGTCTGTAGACCAGACTGGCTTCAAACCGGCTTCATCTGCCTGTCTCTGCCTCCCCAGTGCTGGGGTTCAAGGAGTGCACCACCTTTGCCTGGCTGGTCCTCTGTATTTCTATAACCAGCAAAATTGTTACTTAGCACAGTTCCGTCACGGAAGGTGATGTGCGGATAGTGTCTGAGAGTAAGTTAAATATACTTTCCTAATCTGGATTATTTTTTCAAATTTTTTAAAAAACATTTGTGCTGAGCTGGGTGGTGGTGGTGGTGGTGGTGGTGGTGGTGGTGGTGGTGGTGGTGGTGGTGGTGGTGGTGTATACCTTTAATCCCAGCACCTGGGAGGCAGAGAGAGCCAGGCGGATCTCAGTGAGTTCAAGTATACAGATCAAGATCCAGGAAAGTCACCAAAGTTACACAGAGAAACCCTGTCTCGAAACCACCCCCCCAAAAAATGTGCTAACATCGACCTCTTTGATGATAACTACTAAGTAAAAAGACACAAAGTTCTAAATACTTGACTGGTAACTTCCAGGAAAAATTGATTAGATCCGCTTGTTTTACTGATAACATATTTTCAGAAAATGGAAGAAACATTATGTATCTTTTTATTTAATTGATATGTGTCTCATTTTCCCTAGTAAAATTATGTTAAAGACACTTTTTTCCTGTAACTTCTTTATCACGAGTAAATTCTCCATTAAAATGACTATTGATTATTTACTGACTGTTTTTTGAAAAATATGGAAGAGTAAGTGAGCAGAATGTTGTTTCCATGGAAACTTCTTGTTGCTGTCAGTAGATAGACTGGTTATAAGGATTGTTTTTCATTTCACATATAATAAAAGCCACTTTTCAAGCCTAAGACATCTAATAATACTGTTGTTGTAATTTTATTCTAGGACTGGCTTTCTTAATTCTTTGACTCTTTTTGTTTTCTTTTTGGCTGAGTTGTCCCATCTTTGTTGTTCCATTATCGATAACAGAATATGATTTTGCAAAAAAAAAAAAAAAGTTCCTGAAATGATCTGTTACAAAAATATTATCTTCATGTGACTTCTTCCTATTATAGCTCCTTTCCCCTCTTCCTCTGTCTTCTAAGGTCAACATCAATTCAAGTTGAGGATTTCCTAGTTGAGTTAAGTAGTTCTTGTTTTTTGGCTGGTTGGTGGTTTGGTTTTTCAAGACAGGGTTTATCTGTGTAGCCCTAGCTGTCCTGGCACTTGCTCTGTGATCATGTTGGCCTTGAACTCAGAGATCCACCTGCCTCTGCCTTCTGGGTGCTGGGTTAAAGGTATGTGCCACCACAGCCTGGCTTTGGGTTGTGGGGTTTTGTTTGTTTGTTTGTTTTTGTTTTTGTTTTAAGATTTCTTTTTATTTTTGTGTGTATATGTGTGGGTCTGTGTGTGTATTTGTGCACAAGTACAAGTGCCTATGAAGATCAGAAGAGGGCATTTGGTCCCCTGGAGCTGGAGTTCCAGGAGATTGTGAGCTACCCAAGGGCACTGGGAACTGAATTTGGGTCTTCTACTCTTAGCCACTGAACCATCTCTCCAGCCCCTACTTTTGTTTGGTTTTTTTTGTACAGGATCTCACTCTGTAGACCAGGCTGGCCTCTGCCTCCCAGGTGCTGGGATTAAAGGTGTGTACCACATTTAGCTACATTGATTTATTCTTTTATGTGTGGGGGAGTTTTGGCTGCCTGTATCTGTATACCATCTGTGTGCACTGCTTTTGGATGCCAGAAGAGGGCATTGGGTCCCCTGGAACTGGAGTTAAGAACTGAGTGTGAGCTGTGTGCATTTGGGTGCTGGGATTGAACCAGGATCTCTTCTTAATCAGCTCTCCAGCTCTCTCGTTTTAAATAAATGTTTGTTTTGCAGTGTTATGGTCAAGCCCAGAGCCTCGGGAATGATAGGAAAGTGCTTTACCACTAAGTCAGGTCCCTCGTACTCTTTTGTTTTTAAACAGATTTTTATAGCATATATTAATTAGTTGGGGTCTTTGTTATGACATCTTCATACTTGTGAGTCATATGTTTTGGTCATATTCACTCCAGTAACCTCTTGTTCATTCCCGTTCTTCTTTATCCCTTTCCTCTTCCCAACTGGTCTCCTTCTACTTATATGTTTACTTTAAAGATTCTCTAATTAAATGTATGTGTGTTATATGTATATGTTTGTGCACATGAGTGCAGGTACTCTAGGAAGCCAGAGATGTTGGGTCCTCTGGAGCTGAAATGACAGGCTTTGTGAGCTACCCA